CCCCAAAACCCCAAAACCCCAAAACCCCAAAACCCCGAGGGAAGGTATATCTTAGTGATATCAATTAAATAATATTGAAATTGTTAATAAATTATAACTATTAAGATGAATAAAGATCTAGCATGTATTCAAGGAAATTCAAGAGTTTAATCAAGATAACAAGACTCTTAGCAGCAAGATGGGATGTCTTAGCCTTATAAATACCACAATAATTATAATTAGTCAAGACCAGGATCATTTGGGAAGGATGTTATATTTTTTAAGCAAAGAATTCTATAAGGGAAAGCAATTAATGCCTTATCAAACAGTAATACTAATGCTCCAGATAACAGTAGCAGCACCTAAATAGGCTCAAATTCATAAAATGGGTTTAGAAAAAATTTCGACATGAAACCTTCTTATTTTACTTTTAAAAGGCCTCTAACTCACAGTTTTTCTCAAAAGATTTTGAAATAGCCTGGCAGAATCGGTAAGTCAACGATGATTAATTTTACTCATAATTTAATAGGTGATGGTCATGGAGGAGGAATGAGTGGCGGGGGATTTAGTTAGTCAATTATGAACGACACTCAAAAGAACTGGATGGGTACTTAGGGAGTTGTAGATGAAGGGGGTTCAGATGAAAATGAAGAAAATGGCTAACCTAAAGTTCTCTATTCAATGAAGTAATTAAAATAGTTACATCATTTCACAAACTATGGCTAATGGAATACTACTCATTCGAGAGTTCCAATGGATACCTATCAAAAAGGAAGATTTGCATTCAAGACAGGTGGCTATCCGAATTCTATGCCATTAAACATGAAAATTGATGATTAAGTTGTAGCTGATAAGAACATAAGAGAAAAGATTGAAGTAATTGATTAAATAGATTTGAAGGAAACTTAAAAAGGTAGTCAAAATGAGTAACCTGAAAAGTTATAAATAGAAGAGGTTAAAATACTACGAACATCTGAGATATTGCCACCTTCTAATTACAGATAGAGTATTAATACTATCGCAATGTCCTCTTAATTCTAAGAGCCTATCATGGATGTTAGAGTAATTTTTGGAAAGAGCTAAGAGCTACAGAATTCAATGAAAAAGTCAAGAACTTTAAAGCGGAACTACCTCAAACAAACATTCACAACAGCAAAGAAATAACATAATAATAATCATCTTTCCAATAACTTACTTAAATTAAAAGATCCTAATTAAAAAGAGATTTAGAACTTACCCCTTATAAGTGATTTCAAGGATTTAATTAAGAGCTAATACAGAACATAAACTAGCCCAGCTGGTGCTACTTAATCTAATAATAACCAAAGATCCAGTTCATAGCCGGCTGTAGAAAATACAGATCTTCTCTAATCTTAAAACCCTAATGAATAATCAGTGGAGGGAGAAGTAAATCCAGCAGACAGTCTTCATCAACTCGGTAGTCCAAATGTTTATGGAAAATTATTCATAGTTTCAAACAAGATAAAGCATGTAGAAGAATATCAAAGAGTTTTGGAATCTAAGAACTACCATTAATATAAGATCTTGCTCATGAAGAATAAAATCAAAGTAATGGACAAATACCTCTCTTAACTTAAGCCAATTGTGTGCCTAAACTCTATTCGATCCATTTATAAAAAACAGTCTGAAAACAATGAGCAGCTTACTCGAAAAAGGATTTTAATTAAGTATCTGGAAAGGTTGTTTGATCAGAAGATGCATGATCACTTTAGAGGTCTGAATTAAAAAGATGATAAAATTATAACAGAAGAGGTAAGACGCGAGATTATAATGGCCTTAGCTGAAAATATCCTTAGTGGATAACTTGATAGTGAAGATGGTAATACAGAGCGCTAAATAGATGAAATTTTAAATAGGTATGGACTTAAACGACCTCCATAAAGACTATTTGACTGATAATTTTACACTATAATAGAAAATCACTTGTTAATTTTACAATAAGACTTAATGATAAAAAATACTTTTTATTTTATTTCGCATTTCTTTGAATTAAAAAAAGATCTAAGTTTACGGGGTTTTGGGGTTTTGGGGTTTTGGGG